TAACTTTAAACACTTTACAAAAATCACTGCCAAGAATTACACTATGTCTCAAAGTAGGTACTACCAAAACTTTAAGCAGCTTGCAGCTGTTATCAACCGTTATAGGTAAATTTACAAATCCGTCAACACTTTGACGTTTACCGTCCGCGGTTGTTACAACATGAATTTTTGAATTAAAAATTTTCAAATTAAACATACTAATGAACTGCAAACCGTCTTGACCGATTATTGTGGAGGTACTGCCAGAGTCCAACAAACATGTCAAGTACTTGTCGAAAATTTTGACAGAGACATAAGGACGGTTGTCGCCCGTTTTTTCTTTAACTAAAGCGTCTAAACTATTTCTAATACTATAAAATGACCTAACCCTACCTAACCAAAGTTTCCAGTCCTTAATATCAAAAAAACTTTTCCTGTCTTGTGAAAAACCTGATGATTTAAAATGTTTAAAGACCGCTTTATGTTTTAAAGAAGACAGGCAAGGGTCTAATTTGCCGGCCTTCTCTCCTGGTTTTTTGAACAGGAGGGACAGGTTGTTTTTGTGACATCAGGTCTACCACAAGAAAAACAGAACATAGACCTTTTTAGAGTACAATTTTGGAACGTATGGTTCGGCTGTTTGCAATTAAAACAGATTACCTGTTTCTTATTAAATTCCCTCTTGTTGTCACTAACTGCTGAGACATTAGGCTTTTGGTAGGTAGGTCTAGGTTTAAAAGTAGAATAATTATTCCCAAAGCGAGGTTTAACATTATTAGTAAAAGAACTACCCGAGGGTTTATCAACATATTTCAATTCTGAATCCAAGCTTTCGACACTTTTGTCTCTGTCAAAAGATTGTTTAGCGGCTTCCTCCAGTCTCCGACAATAACTACCCAAGCTAGGTATATTAGGAGTATCCACCAAGACGAGTTGACTAAAATAATGTGGCAAAAGATTCTTACGCAAATACTTGATCTTTGTAATTTCGGCTGGTTCCTTACTTAACCTATTGAAAAGAGTCTCCATTACCGCGAAAAAAATAGCCATAGACTCGTGTTTACCCTGACGTCTAGTCTTAATTTGCTCCCAAATAATCTCATCATAATCATCAGGTATAAAATTTTGTTTAAGTAACTTTATCAAAGAATCCCAATCCTGGACAAGATGCTTATTTGTCCTAACAAAAAGCCATGCCTTACCTGTGAACAAATCTATTGTTGCATTGAATAACTGATCCTTTGTTACACCTCTCGCCTCTGCCATTTCTCCTACCCTCTCAATAAAAGGAATTAAACCCATACTATCATTTTCCCCACTAAATTTTAAATCCCACTTATCTATACGTGGTTGTTTGTAGTTAGATATGGGTGCACTAGATGGCCCTATGCTATTGTTAAAAACGTGAGTGCTGGAAGAAGGAGGAGGTGATAACATTGGATCTTCTTCAATGATTCTATCATGAAGTTCTGCATCTAAATGCAGGCAAGTTGCATATGCTTCATTTTTATATTCGTTAAAAGGCTTAATTGCCTCTTCATCCGCTTCAGGAACGGGAATTCTTTGGACTCTTTGGGTAACATGATTAAGTCTAGATATCAGCACCGAATATAAGGAGTCTGAAGTTCTACCTTGAAAGTCTGAAATTAATTCAGTAATTGAGTCTAAAGTATTTTTAATGGCTACCTTTTCAGTGTCAAAAACTAAATTATCAATCAAAAAAACAAAAGGATTAAGTTTCTCCTTTTTCAACAACCTAGCCAAAATTTTGCGTTTCTCGTCATGGTTTCTACTGGTGACTGTGCCTCTGATCTTTAATTCATAGTCCAACTCCTCTGCGCGAAGATGCTTAGCAATAATTTTTGTCTCCATGATTACCGAATAAAAAAACCAATACAGCAACAATCAAGTCGCCTATTCAACCACCGGACTTAACTTTAAAATGACTGGTTTACTAAAATTGATTCTAAAAACTACTAAAAAATCATGGACCAGCTCCAAAAATTGGGCCAGTACGGACCTGAACTCAAATTTAAATTTAAATCAAAATTTAAAAATAAGGTAAACACGCGTAAGTATATAAATATAAAATAAACATTAATGTGAGTATCTCTATACTCAATAATTCGTAGAATTAAATAAAAATTTTGCCTACTTGGCATATAAAAATCAAAATATAATTTTAATCATTTGTGGGTACACACTGTATATCGCAAAGGCCCAAAAAATATTTATCGTCGTATCAAATCCGAAATTCGTAATCAGGTTATGCCGTTAATCCTAAAGTAAGATCTTAAATGTTAAGTATACCAGGTTATTATTACAAAAAAATGAAACGTAATGTGTGTAAACCTTAAAAAAATGAGTAAATTATGAAAAATTTTACAAAGTTAAATTTGACAGATAAAAAAATTAAAAAATGAATAAACCAAAATGCAAGTATGAAAAATCGGGGCCACACGTTTGCGCGCCAATTTTATTTAACCAACTTGGGGTTATATGCTCCGGCAGCTCTCGTGTCTGGGAGCATAGGTCTGTGGGTTTTTATTCTTCATACTTACACTTTGCTTGGGCGCCACCACAACTTTAAAGAGTACAATAACCTAAGGTTGTGGTCATTAAGTTAAACTCAAGGTTTAGTTACTTACTTTATATTTTAAATGAAAATTATATTAAATTTAAGTTAATGTTAAAATCATTACCGAATAGCTATTGGTTTACACTAGACTAAAAATTGTTAAAAAATAAAATAATGTTTCATAATTTACTGCAACGCAGTTTTGCGCAATAAAAAAAATTAATAAGGATGAAAAAAACCTGTATCCCGATTAGGGTTACTGGATGTCTGGTATACTCATTCTGAGGGCTGGATCAGGCTCCTGGATGTATGGGGCTATTCGTGCTCCATGGGTACTGTCATAAAAGCGATCGTTGAGACAGCCAGGTCGACCGTTCCATCAGGAACTCCTCCATAGGAAATTTCACTACAGTTTTAAGCGAAGACCAGGATAACCTTTCCAGAAAATGTGCCCCCAAGAAAAAACCCTAAATGAATAATACTTTGAATAAAAAATGGGAAACCACAACAAAAAAAATACTTACGGAGTTTCTCCGGTTTTTTCGATGAATTTCTAAAAATAGGACCTTCCCAGGTCGATGGAATAATTCCCAGGTACTTTAGATGGCTATTTAGCAAACTAGGAAATAGGATGACTTAGAAAAAGTTGGAATAACATTTGATTGCACTCACCACGCTGCTCGATTACGAAAAACTCAATCGTTCAGGAGACCACGGCAACCACTGTTCTATCTATTTGCGCTAACTTGGTATGATAGGCAAACAACTAGTTAATTACTAAACGAATCGTTATTACACTTTAGTTAGATTTAACAAATTATCTAACTTGAGAACCGGCCATTCGCACCTGTCTACCTGCAGAACATCAGCGTCTACCTGTTGATTCTCCCCTCTCCCGAACAAAACTCCTTATACGCAATATCACCAACCCAATGCTACCAACGTACAATTTAATTATTGTAATTTTCTTAAGGAAAAGCGCACTTTAGCAATATATAAAAAATTAAAGAATTAATGAGCAACGCAGTGAATACAAACAAACTTAAACCAACCTTAGAGCCATGGCCCTTCGTGAATGCATTCCCAAGAAACAGTTGCCAAATACCAAAAGTCCCTAAACCGGATAAACGTCAAAACAATATGAAATAATCCAACTACCAAAATTGACAAACAAACCTTACGAATATGAAACCCTACATAAAATAAAAGTAAGTAACGTTTTTTTATAAAAATAATAATTATAATTATAAATTCTAAAGTACACAAATGTTGTAGGATCACCAGGGCCCCAGATAAACTTAAAACGCATATATACTATAAAGGAGACCCAGGAGCACCCACATCATTCACCTACACTCATTCACTCAACCATTCATACTTATCACACTTCATACATATCGAAACAATAACTAAAAGGTAAATTCTGTCGTAACCTAAAATATGTACCAAGATCTTCCTGGTTATAAATGAAACTAAAATAAACGTACTCTTTTAGGCATGGCAAATCAACACCATGAAGCCAGCGACCTAAAGACCCCAAAATAATAACCAAAACATAAAAATACAATACTCATAAGCCGATATGCGATATACAGTGTGAACAGTTGTGTACTCAATAAACTAAATTATACTTATACAGTGCTTAACTTATTTCTAATACATAAATCATGTAGCGTTACTATTTGTAACGTTACAGACGAGCCACTTCACGTTGTGATGAACCATCTTGTATCATCCCAATTGCTCTTAATTTTTGTTCGTCACTTAGATGGTGCCTTTCCATAATAGTAAAAGTATAAAAACTTGATGATTATTGGGTAAATAACACAAGATATACTAAATTGCACCCTTTAACGGGTACCCAGAAATACGATAAAAAGTAAAAAAACATTATTTTTTGCATTAAAATATGTGTTAAACAGTGTGTTCTTTTATATTTAGTTATGTTATTTTATAATTTATAAGTTAAATTATTTAATAATTAAATTTAATTCGATTTTTCTGGGTGTTCCCCAGACACTTTGACTGTGTATATTATAGGTAATAATGCTTTTATTTTAATTACACTAAACAAAACTATAATTTATTGCCATTGCTAGAAATAACTTACTTTTTAAAGATAACGGTAAAGGAGCATTTACGTATTACGTAAGCACACTTTATATGATTTTAGACCCCACACCCCTGTAAATGCAAAAATAAGAAAATCGCCCTCCCTTTCTCAGCGAAAGTAATCCAAAATTAAACCCCCCACCCCTTATCCTGCTTACGTAATACTTGAATGCCTCCTAAACTATGACTAGACCTACTCAACACACGCTTTCAAAACGAATACACATATTAGAGCAAGCAATACATAATATTTTTTATTTTGTATTTGTTTTTAAATTTTAACCTTTAATGCAATTTAGTTTTATTTTTTAATTTTTTAGTCTCTACTTACCCATATTTGCAGTTTTACACGTTTGTCGTGTCTAAAAACAGTTTTGACTTTAAAATCTATTCCTACAGTGCTCACAAATGCCGATGTAAAACTATCATCTGCATATCTGAAGAGGAATGATGTTTTTCCAACAGAACTGTTTCCTATTATAAGTAATTTAAACATATAGTCAAAATTTTGGTCTGCAGCGTCTTTCGTTCTATCAACACCTGCCATCTAAAAAATAAACACATTGAAATAACTGCGAAGTTTATAGCCAATTAATTTTTAAAATAATTAATTTTTCCCAAAGGAAACATAGGGAATAATAAAACAAAAAAAAATTTTGTTAATGTAAAACCAGAAAATAAATGCATTTTTAAATAAAAAGAAAATCTAATTTTGTTTTATTATCGGAACTACTTTGAGAAAAAACAGTGAGCATGGCCAATAGGGCGGAGCAAAAGACATGATGGTAAAAATTTAATCTGCTATTATTATAAGTAAAATTAACAACAAAATGGTTTTTACTCGGACAATTTTTATAGGGCCCCTCACCTCTAAACATTGTTATATCAAAATTGATTTTTGTTAATTTATTTTGGTAATAGTATTATATTACTACATAATAAACTTTTACCATCATATATTTCGCTCCGTCCCACAGTGGTCTGGGGCAGGCCAAAAAGCCCTAAAAGTCGACTTTCTCAAATTAAATAAAAAATAATTATATATATAATATATTATATATTATTATTTTGTTGTATATATATATATATTATATATATACAACAAAATAATAATATATATATATAATAATAACAATAATATTAATAATAATAATAATAATAATAATAAACTTTATTAGCCCAACAGGGTTTCCCCCAATTACAGGAGGCATGTATTGGAGTTCTTGCTCGATTCATCAAATTTGTTCTTGAAGTTGGAAGTTTAAATCTTGAGTTAATTCTAGGTACGTTGATGTTTAATTTGGACAGAAGATATATATATATATATATATATTTAAATCTTTTATGTTTAGATGAAGAGAGAGATCGTCCAAACAAGCACCTCTATCAGGGTATGTTCCATATAATCTAAACGACATATATTTTAGGAATAAGAATTCCAAATAAGGCTTGCATATTCTAATGTACTAATGACAAACAAAAAGTATAACGTTTTTATTATACTGAAATCAGTGAACTCCTTGGAGGATCCAAGCATTTTACCAACCGATGAACATACGCTATTTAGATGTAGTATAAAACTAAAACCAATATCAAAAGTAACTCCTAAATCCTTAATTAAATCTGTTCTTTGTAATTCGACATTGGTTACAGCATACGTTGCTAAAGTTGGAAATTTCTTTTTTGTATATGTTGCAATAAAGCATTTATCAACATTTAACTTAAGTTAATTCAAACGACACCAATTTGCTATGAAGGTTAAATTATTTTGAAGTATCTTAACATCATCAGGATGTTTAATAATTGAGTATATCTTTATGTCGTCGGCATAAGCAAGAGCGGGGCAAGTTAGGTTCAGAAGAAGTTCGTTAACAAATAAAATAAATAGAAGGGGCCCTAAATTTGACCCCTGTGGAACACCAGATGACATATTATAAATATTGGAAGAAACTTTTTGTAATATACATAATTTTTGCGATTTTTTAAATATGATGCCATACTAAATTAGGGGAAAAATTAAGATTAGATAACTTATCCAATAAAAGATCATGGTTTATGCAGTCAAAAGCCTTCGATAGGTCTGTATATATAGTGTCAACTTGAGTTCTATCATCAATGGACTCGCAAATGAATTGGCTAAATGATGCAAGGTTGGTCACTGTTCATCGGCCAGATACAAATCCATGTTGGTAGTGAGATACATATTGTTAGTGTTTAGTGTTAAAATATATTTGATTATATATGATGGTTTCAAAAACCTTGGAAAAATTTGATAACAGGGATATTGGACGATAATTGGAAATTTGTGCTTTCTCACCTTTTTTGAATACTAGAATTACTCTTGCTATCTTCCATCTGTCAGGAAAGCTACAGGTGGAAATGCATAAATTAATTATAATGCATAACGGTTTGGCAAGAGCGAACCTACAATCTCTTATAAGAAAGCTGGGAATATTATCATCACCTGCAGTTAGTTTATTGTACAGCTTTAATCACATCGATTTCTTTAACTTTACTTAAGTTAAATGATAAAGGAATTGATTTTGAACTATAGTCACATGTAATTGGTTCAGTATTAAAACCTAAAGAAAATAAATTTGCAAAGGCATTTACTATTTCTATAGGATCAGAAAGTTCTTGTTCATTACAAAGGCGTATTTCAGGAATTCTACTTGTTCCTTGCTTTTGATTAATATAGTTTCATAGCTCAGTTGGATTATTTTTTATATTATTTTGTATATTATTTCGGTACACGTTATGGGCATTCAGTATCTGATTTTTTGATAATGTTCTTAATCTCTTAAACTCTAAATTATAATGTTGTTGTTTTGTATGTATCCATTTATTTCTGTAATAGTTTTTCATTTTCAAAGTGTGTTTTATTTCATTAGTAAACCAGATGGGATAGTTGAACATTTTCCTTTGTTTCTGTATAGTTTTAGAGACATGGTTATCGAGTATTTCATAAAATCGATTATAGAAGTTACAGATTATGTTATTGGCATCAGTACAATTTTCCAAGAAAGACCAGTCTGTAATCATAAGAGAATTATAGAGGTTTATAAAGTTTGCTTTTTTAAATTTGTACGTAGGAATTTTGTTTTTGGGAAAGTTGTTTAAAGTAACACCAGTATATGTTATGGCTGCACATAAAGCAGGATGATAATAGACTTCAGGAACGAATGGAAAATCAGAGTGCTTGACATCAATGTCCTTTCCGAGATTTGATAAGATTAGGTCTAGCAACTTTTGATCATTATAGAATATATTATTGAATTGTATAAGTTGATGAATATTACCTAATAGTTTTACATAAGAAGTTTTTGTGCAGTTTAAGTTGGATGGATGATAAAAGTTTGGTAGGTTAAAGTCACCTATCATTAAGACATTTTCATTCAATAGAAATGGTTCTAGAGCATCGATAAAGGTTTCCATGTCAGTGGGTCAGTGTGGTCATCAATGTAATGCTGACATGAATTAAATATTTAATAACAGATGGTAAAAAGTAATCTACTAATTGCAGGTTAATTATAATTTTGTTTTTCAGGCTTAGCGCGGTTGATTAGCACTGTCGTTTTTAGGAAAATAATATAAATAGTATTAAAAAAAAAGAATTGAACCTTCACCTCGCCAGAGTTTTTATTTTGAGTGCGTTCCACTTGTGAATAATACCAGTGGATTTAAAGAAACTAAGAAAATTGAATGTTTAGTTAATTTTAACATTAGTAATTATAGTTATATAGTTTATTATAAGGTATTAAAATTATTACCTGTAGAAATATTTTATTATAAAATTTTTATAATAAACAGTTTAATAGATACTAAGAAATTTTAGCAGATATGGTGTTCATAAATACTATACAGAAGTTTTAAAAATATATGTAGGTACCTATTTATAATAATAAATTAAACTGAATTTGACAAAACATTAAGTGTATATATAAAATATATAAAAATTATACTAAACTATTATTTTTTTAATAAATAAAACTAACATAGAAAAATAATGACTGCGTTTATTTATAAAATAATTATTAAAAATTATAATTAAAAAACACATTTATAAAAAAAAAATTAAAAATTACAGACTAATACTAAAATTAAAGAGCAGCTAGGTAAAAATAGTACCCATTGATAATGAGATAATGCCGCGTCTCTACTAACAAAACAAAATTATAAAAAATAAATATTTTCTTAGATTTTGTAATATGGATTCTATAAAGAGATTACAATTTCCAATCCCTGCTGAAAATGACGGATGATTGCGGGTATAAATTCTTTGTCAAAACCGTATAAAAGCAGATGATTGCGGGTATAAATTCTTCGTCGAAGCCGGATAAAAGCGGGTAAAAATATCATCGGATAACATATGCTTTTGTCCGCATCGCTATATCCGCGAACACCCGGTTGGTTGTGTTTTATGTCCGGTAGTGCACCCCTGCAATCATCTGTTTTTAACCGTCTTCACTGTGTTTTGTTTATATCTGAATTTGTCCGGAATCATCTGCAAACGTCTGCTTACGTCTGGGTTTATCCGCGAGCATATGCTTTTACCCGCAAACGTCTGCCTAGTCCAATCTCACCCGCCAACATATGCTTTTATCCGCGACCATCTGCTTTCATCCGCGAACATCTGCAATCATACGCGAACAACTGCTTTTATCCGCGAACATTTGCAATCACCCGCGAACATCTGCTTTTACCCGCGAACGTCTCCTTTCATACGGTTTCACCCGCAAAACATGCTTTTATCTGCGAACGCCTGATATCATCCGGTTAGTGCACCCCCGCATTCACCCGCAAACATCTGCTTTTATCCGCGAACATCTCATTTTATCTGCGAACATCTGCTTTCATACGGTTCCACCCGCAAACATGCTTTCATCTGCAAACATCTGATATTATCCGCAAACATCTGCTTTTATCGGAAAACATCTGCTTTTATCCGCAAACATCTGATTTTATATGCAAAAATCTGGTTTTATCCGCAAACATCTGCTTTTATCCTAAAACATCTGCTTTTATCTGAAAACATCTGATTTTATACGCAAACATCTGCTTTTATCCCCAAATATCTGCTTTTATCCGCAAACATCTGCATTTATCCGCAAATATCGAAACTCGAGCCTTTTTGATCACGAAAACAGGAGACAAAAACCTTATCAAAAATGATCAAAGAGGATCGAGATTTAAACTCGATCCATTTTCGATCAGTTTTTTTCAGCAGGGTTATTCAAATAATTCCTTTTAGAGTTATAAAGTTGTGTGCCGTGAACGGCTAACAACCAGACAAAAAGCGCAAATGAAACCAGGCGTTTGCGTACGAAACAGGACCAAAATGGACAAAGGAAATGCAGGCAAACCGAACGCGGATGAAAGCAGAGGTTTGCAATTAAAAGCAGATGTTTGCAGATGTTCGCGGATAAAAGCAGATGTTTGCGATTAAAATCAGATGTTTGCGGATAAAAGTAGATGTTTGGCGATAAAAGCAGATGTTTGCTAGTAAAATCAAATGTTTGCGGATAAAATCATATGTTTGCGGATAAAATCAGATGTTTGAGGATAAAAGCAGATGTTTGGAGATTAAAACAGATGTTTGCGGATAAAAGCAGATGTTTGCGGATAAAAGCAGATGTTTGCGGATAGAA